ACGGAAAAGGCACCAGTAAAACTGCAGGAAAAGGAATGAAGAAGTAATTTCGGATAAGGAAGCTGTTACAACAAGGGCCAAGGAGAATATGGTTATGGAAAAAGGAGAGGAGACTATTGAATATAACCCAACAGGTGAGGAGTTACACTGGCTCGAGGGTGGCATGGTGGCAGTGGTGAGATCAATGGCTTCAGTATCAAAGATTCAGGAGCAATTGGATGTCGATGGAGGCTCAATCTCATTAGCACCAATTGGGGGAAGACAGATGTTATCAACTAAAAGAGTTACAGGGTATTTAGTTGAGTATATGAAGCTAAATGAGGAGGTGTTTGGTATGTGGTTTGAGTCTATAAAACCATGGGAGAAGGCAACAGAGAAGAAAAGAAGAATGGTATGGCTGCGCATAGCGAGAGTGCCATTAAAGGCATGGGGTGAGAGGCGTTTCCGAATGATAGGTGAAACAATAGGAGAAGTATTAATGATTCATGATGATACAAAGAACAAATCAATCTTATGGGATGGGAGAGTATTGATTTTATGCTCAGATTCTAGCAAGATCTCAAAACGAATTAAGCTGAAGGTGGGAAAGCAGGTGTATGAGATAGAGATAGTTGAAGAGGAGTGGTGCTCCGATCCGGATTGGTGTTTGTCGGAGAATGATCGGAAAAGCAACCTGGAAACGGAGTCTGAATACTCAAGAGCGTGGAGTCAGAACAAGGATCCTGAGTTGGATACGGATGGGATTTGCGGCGACGAGGATATGAGTACTGATTCAAAGTAATTAATGATGGATTTGGATTTAAATTCAAATTTGAAGCCGTTAGCAGAAGCAGAAAGCTGTAGACAAATTGAAACAGGGATGGATTTGGAGGAGGATGAAAGATATGGGCTGTCTCAGAATATTGGGCCTCAAAGTCTGGGTTTTGTTGGGCTAGAAACAAGTTGTGGGCTTGCTGAAAGGATGGACTAGAGACAAACAAAGGAAATGAGCATGGGTTTAAATAATAAAGAACCAGTGGAATCACCGGCATTGCAAAAATCGGGAAAAAAAACAAAACTGAGAGTAAAAAGCAGAGGCCTCTTTAAGAATGCTCCCAGAAAACATGGAGGAGATCTGGGCAAAAGGGATACCGTGGGTGACACCTAGAACAAAGCAGCGACAGTCACGGAGAGTGGGCGCTCAACAAACTAGGGATGACAAGGTATGCACCATTGGTACTATGTCTATTTCGGATGGGTGTATTGAAAATAGAAATAGGGTGATGCAGAGAGAGATGAATTTAAATGAGGTGCGCCGGATGATGAGGGTGGGGAAAAAGTTGGGTTTTCAATTTGATAATAATGAGGAGGAGATACAATCTAAGTTATTAGAGGCAGAGGATCGAGAAGCGGCAGGACGAAGGGACGTGTCGGGGAGGTAAGGTTGGAGGTGATGAGAGGCGGTGTGTGATTAAAAGTGATTAATGAAGATTATATCTTTTAATGTAAGGGGTTTGTGTGGGACATTGAAAAGGAAGGAGGTGAAAAAGCTGGTTATAGAAGAAAGGCCCGATTTTTTATTCTTGCAGGAAATAAAGTTAGAAAGGATGGATGTAGGTACATGTAGCCAGTTGTGGAATTCAGATGAGTTTGACTGGGTTGCGAAGGGCTCTTCTAGAGCTTCAGGGGGTTTGCTATGTATATGGGCTAGGAGGCATTTTGTTAAGAGGGAAGAGCTAATTGGTGACGGTTTTGTGGGATTATCAGGGGAATGGGGAGTAAGTAAACAACAGTGTTTTCTTATAAACGTGTATGGCCCAAATGATAGGCAGAAAAGGGCTAAGTTGTGGGAGGAACTAAGGAAAATGATAACAGACAAGGAAGGGCGTTGGTTGATAGCAAGGGACTTTAATGCTATTAGGGGCACTGAGGAGAGACGAGGGAAAATAAGGGAGAGCCCGGGTATGAAGGATTTTGATGAGTTCATAGTGGCAACAAATTTGGTGGATGCTAAATTGACGAATATGAGGTATACCTAGTATAAGCCAAATGGTACATCAAGAAGCAGATTGGATAGATTCCTGTTA